TGTTGCTAATTTTTTAATGATGATGCTGATGATGATTCGGTCGACGGTGATGATTTTGATGATGACGACGAATAGGATGATGATGGCGATGATGATGATGATGATGATAATGATAATTCGGATGATGCTCATGCTGATAATGATGAAGACGACGATGAATATCAGGATGATGATGATGATGATGATGATGATGATGATGATGATGATGATAATGATGATGATGATGAAGATGACGATGATGTTCATGATAATGAAGATGATGATGAAAATTCGGATGATGCTTAGTCTGATGTTGTTCTCGAAGATGATGAGTTGATAATGATGAAGATTCGGCTGATGATGCTCATGATCATGATGATGATTCGGATGATGATGTTGATAAACCTGATTTTGATGATGGTCATGATGCTGATGATGAAAATGTTGTTGACGATGATGACGATGACGATGATGACGATGATGATGATGATGATGAAGATGATGATGATGATGATCATGATGATGAAGATGATGATGTTTCGGATGATGCTCATCATGCTGATGATGATGATAATGTTGATGATGTTCACGGTGACGATGATGTTCATGAAAATGACGATGATGATGAAAATTGGGATGATGCCTAGTCTGATGTTGTTTCCGATGATGACGGTTTTGATAATGATGAAGATTCGGCTGACGATGCTGCTGATGGTGATGATGATTCGAATGATGATGTTGATAAAGCTGATTTTGATGATGGACATGATGCTGATGATGAAAATGATGATGATGATGATGACGATGACGATGATGACGATGATGAATACGATGATGATGATGATGATGATGATGATGATGATTATGATGGTGACCATGATGATGATGATGACGATGATGATGCTGATGATTATGATGATGACGATGATGATGATGATGATGTTTCGTATGATGCTCATGTTAATGATGATGATGACGATGATTATGATGATGACGATGGTGATGTTTCGGATGATGATCATGATGCTGATGATGATGATAATGATGATGAGGATGACGGTGACCATGATGTTCATGATAATGACGATGATGATGAAAATTCGGATGCTCCTTAGTCTGATGTTGTTTTCGATGATGACGATTATGAAAATGATGAAGATTCGGCTGATGATGCTCATGATCATGACGATGATTCGGATGATGATGTTGATAAACCTGATTTTGATGATGGTCATGATGCTGATGATGAAATTGTTGTTGACGATGATGACGATGACGATGATGACGATGATGATGATGATGATGAAGATGATGATGATGATGATCATGATGATGATGATGATGAGGAAGATGATGATGATGATTCGGAAGATGATGATGATGATTATGATGATGATGATGATGATGCTGATGGTGATCACGATGATGATGAGTCAGATCATCGGGAAGATATTGATGACGATTCCGATCATCATTTCGGTGATGATGACGATGATGATGATGAAGGTGATTATGATGATGTGTCGGATGATGCTGAGGATATTGAGTGTGTTATTGATGGAGATGATGAAAATTCGGATGGTGGTTATCCTTATGATGATTCCGATGAATATGATGACGATGATGTTGATGACGTTGATGATGATGATGATGATGATGACCACCATGATGAAGATGATGGTGATGATGATGATGATGACCATGGTGATGATGATGATAATTATGATGAAGGTGATAAGGATGATAAGGATGATGATGATGAGGACGATGATGATGATGATGTTGATGATCGCGATTATTCAAATGATGATGTTGATGATGATGATGATGATGATGATGATAATGATGATGATGAAGTTGATGACGATGTTCCGGATGATATTGATGATGATGATGATGATTAGGATCATGATGATAATGATGATGATGTTGATGATGACGATTTTCGGATGATCGTGAGGATGATGATGATGATGATGATCATGATGATCATGCTGAGGATGATGACGATGTGGATTATGACGATGATGATGATGATGCTTCGGAAAATGACCATGATAACCATGATTCGAATGAAAATGATGATGATTATGATGATGATGATGATGATGATGATGATGATGATGATGATGATGATGATGATTGTGATACTGAAGATGCTGTTTATCAAGTTGATTTTGACGAAGATGATGATTCGGATGTTCATCATGATGATGATGAAATGTTGCTCATGATGATGTTTATGACGCAGATGATGATGTAAACGTTGATGATTATGATGAATCAGATGACGATGATGATAGTGTTGCTGATGATGATGATCAGGATGAGGATGTTGACGATTCGGATGATCACGATGATGATGCTAATTCGGATGATGATTAGGGTGATGATGATTATGACTATGATGTTGGTGATGATGTAGACGGCGTTGATGAAGATGTTGAGGAGGAGGAGGAGGAGGAGTATGATGATGATCATTTGGATAATGATCATGACGATGTTGATGTTGATGTTCAAGCTGATGGTGATTAGGATAATGGTGATCATGAAGATTCGGATGATGATGATGATGAGGATGATGATGATGATGATCTTTCGGATGATGATGAACACGGTATTGATGATGCGGATGATGATAATGAAAAGGATGATGATGATTCGGATGATGATGAACACGATAACGATGATTCAGAGGATGATAATAAAAATGATGATGACGATTCGGATGATGATGTAGTTAAATATGAAGATGATGACGATGATGATGATCATGAACATGATCATGATCATGACGAGGATTCGGATGATCATGATAATGATGACGATGATGATGACGAGCATGATGATACTGTTTCGGATGATGATAACGATGTTGACTTTGTTATTACGATGTAGATGTTAATGATGATTTTGAAGATGTTGACGATGATGATGATGATGATGCTGACGATAACGTTCATGAGTCGGATGATGATAATGATGATGCAGATGATGATGAAGATGACGACGATGATGATGTTGATAAAGCTGACAATGATGATGATGATAGTGATGATGCTGATTCGGAGGATGATGATGAAGATGATGAGGACGATGATTCGGATATTGAACATGATGGATATGACGCTGATGATGATGATCACGATGAGAATGATGGTGACGAAGATGATGCTGATGAATCGGACGATGATGATGTTGCTAAATTTTGGATGATGATGCTGATG